AATAAATGTTTTTTGAGCAGCAAATCAGAATATCAGAATGATTTCTGAAGGATAGTGTGACTGGAGTAATGATGCAAAAAAATTAGCTTTGAAATCACAATAAATTACGTTTTAAAATATATTCAGATAGAAAATAGTTATCTTAAATAGCCTAGTAAAAATATTTCAAAATTTTACTGTTTTGCTGTACTTTGGATCAAATAAATGCAGGTTTGGTGAACAGAAGAGACTTCTTTAAAAAACATTAAAAATCTTACTGTTCAAAAACTTTTGACGTAGTGTATAGGCAACTTTACTTTTTCTCTAATTTCTAGCTTTTAATTGGCTTAGAAATCAGATAACTGCTGGACAATAACCAATAATAATGATTTGTTTATACAAACACATCACATAAGGCAGAATAGTTTCTATACTGTAATAAATGCTATGTCAGTTAGCACTGCATTGTTCATATACGTTATTTATTACCCGGAGATGACTTGACAAACACAAATAAACCATATTGTCGCAATTGTATGTTTAATGTCTTAATGCTTCCAAACGTTTCTGTTTTCTGTGAAAACAACTGTTTTCATACAGGATAGCAGGAAGCTTTTGTCCATATTAGGAATTTCCTCGTAAGGTCCGAATAAAACATCAGATCATGCACAGACTATCATGTCTCTTTTAACATAAATCTATATTCATTCACACCGGCTCTTGAAAACCTCTATGCGAACACACTTGCCCGAAAAAGTGCAGGGGACGAATTTACGTGATATAAAAAGTGGGGGGGAACCCGTCCCCCGCGTAATCTACGCCCCTGACTGGCGCATGTTGCACACACGGCATCACAGTATGGTAAGGGACGTAACATACTTAAACTACATAAACACATTGCATTACACCAAATACACAAAATAATGTTCTTTTTAGAAACGTCATATGACCCCTTTAAAAACGCCAAAGCACAGTGCCCGTTATGGCTTAACGTGTATGGAAAGGGAAAGAGGTGTGCGTGTGTGTCGGGATAAAGGAGGGAGGAAATGGAATAATAATAAACCTAACATTATATTATTTAAAATTGAACTTAAGCATTATATTGAGGCCCTAAAAGATGCAAGAAATAAAAAAGCGAAACAGATGTATAGAATTTTTGAATCCTTTTCTTTTTGGAACTTTTTGTAAGTTTTTTTTTTCCCCTGTAGTTTTCTTTTTTCTTTCTTTTTTTTCTCTTTTTGTTGTTTCCTTTGATGCTATTATGAATGTAATAGATAATAGTTGAATACATTGTGATCCTCTGTATATGTATGTTGTTATTGTTCTTGTTATGCAATAAAAAATAAATAAAAAATACAGTCTATGGTATTTATACAATAACCTATTAATTATAACATTTAATCATAATGTATTTATTAAATGTTTGCTCAACACCTGGGTCAACAGCCAAATAGATTCTTTCTCATACCAGGCATTAATATTCAAACATTTTGAGTTGCGTGTCAAATAGTGGTGCATGACCTCATATGTAGAAATACTGTTCGTCAGCCTGTGGATCCTCTTAAATGCACAGTTTGTTTCAAGCACACAGGGAATATTCTTAGACGCTCAGTGGAAAAAGGAACTTCAGGGTGAGCATGAATCACAAAATAAGCATGATCAGTGAACACATGTCTATCCGCAGAGCTGTTGTCATGGTCACTGTAAACAGGGTAACATATTTGTTGAACTGTGGCGAGGCACTGTTTTGACAGACTATTTCGTTAGGCCTTTCCATTCGTTTTACTGATCCTGGCCGCTGACTTTAACCTTTAAAAGTTCCCCTTAAACATAACTCACCCGAATAAGCTTTACCACAAGCGGAGTGACACGCTAAATGGACGAACGATAATCAGCTCATCGGTTCTCAAATCGGACGTGTCCGAAAGAAACGGTTGTCGGTTCAGTATACTGGTGATCCGAAAACCGATGCAACCGGTTCTTGACTCGAGAACGATAACCGCTCTAACCGGCACGCTGCACGCACGTTCAATATCATCAGCTGCTTTACTCGTGTCGTGTTCATGTTCTATTCATTACAAACTCAATTTGTGAATGTGTCATTGTTACCTATAATTAATTACAGTACAGGTATTTCATAAATCATCCCTTATTCCAGGCAGACATCTTTATAACATCCAGAAAGAAGTGGGAAGGATGAGGATGACAGGGCGAAGTACCAAGGAGGAAAATATAATATCAAGGTTAAGACTGGGTCACACAAGACTAAATAAGACATTACATCTCATTGGAAAACATCCCACAGGTCTGTGTGAGTATTGTCAGGAGGAGGAATCAGTAGAACATGTTCTATGTCACTGCCAAAAATATATTATAGAAAGAGAAATATTCAGAAGGACACCACAGGAGATACTAGATGCAAAGCAAATACTCGGTCAAACAGGAAATTATAATTCTTTAATTGTATTCTTGAGGGAGACTGGGTTAATAAATAGAATATAAAGTATAATTGTTATTTTATTATTAATGTTTTTTTTATTTATTTATTTTTTTAATAAAAATTAGTTTTAATATATATATTTTTTTATATATATAAAGTTCTGTTAGTCACTCTGGTCCACACTCCAGTATAGTAGGTGGCGGTAATGCACCTTAACGTTGGATGCCACCCGCCATAAAACGAAGAAGAAGAAGAAGTTTTATAGTTAACTGAAAGAAACCGGGTGAGAGCACCCTCTGAGCGAACAAAATTATCACTGGCGCAGAGGTACGACCCATTCAAGTTAAGTCGCAGCATGTTCACGTTAAATGGATAGCATATGTTATGACTGACACTAACAGGTTATGTTTAAACTTTAGCGGCTAGTTGGTTGCTCTGGCATGTGAGTAGGTGTGGCGAGCTCGCAGAGAGGTTCAGTGGGAGTGGGTGTCCGCGTGCGCTACATTGTACAGTGTACACCATGTTCTATTAAATGTGGTGGACTTCGTTAGTGCACATATCTCACGTCACTTTCGGGACATTTGCCAGGAGAAATGCGCGTAGTAGTGTTATAGGAACTGTCCAGTTTTGATGTGGTCAAAAGACAAACTTGAGCAACTTTAGAGTTGGGTGTCTTGCAGTGTTGCATGCATGGAAAGAATTCACATATCAGTCAAAGGGTTTGTGAAATAATCTTACGTACCCGTTTTAGTAACATCTGTATTTCTGTTTCAGACTGGCAGCTCACATACAAGCTGCTGAGTTGAAATAGTTTACCGCTATATAAAACTTCTGTCATCATTTACTCATGCTGGGAATTTTAGGCTGAATGACAACCTCAGTCACTTTCATTGTATTCAAATAAAGTTGCAATAAAACACACAGGTTTGTTAAGAGCAATACTTTTAATATAGGCAAATTATTATTAGGCTGGGCTACTGTATACGTTTATTTATGACTGCCGTATTCGCAAGTATTTTCCAAGTAAATTAAGTGCACGTTTTTATCATGTGTAAAATTACTGATTAACATGGCGGATAAAAGCAGCTCTTTTTTTTACACCAACAAGATAGGCTACTATAGGCGTACTGACAGAACTCGGGTGATTTTTCAAACTTGATGTGCTGTTGTGGTAGGCCAGTTTCAAATCGCAGCTACCCACTGGCAGACGAGCCACGATCACTTTTTTTTAATATGTTCTACATGTATTTATGTAACACATATTCTACATTAAAATACATTTAGAATGAACAATAACTGCTGTACAAAGAGTAAAAAAAAAACACACAATGCAGAAAAGCTGCCTCTTTTTCCGAATTGCTTAGATTGTGGGAATCCAGAAACAGTAAAGCACATTCTTCTAGAATGTGATGCGTATGAAAGAGAAAGAAATCAACTTAATCATAAATTAGGTTTGATGGGATATGATAAAGTATCACTCAAGATATTATTAGGGAATAGACAAATGCAATCAAGAATTAAAGAATAAGTGTTCAATTATCTAAGAAAGACAGGAAATATGGAAAGAATATAAATTGCCATTGTGGTTTTTTTTTTGTTTTTTTTTTATATATATATATATATATTCTTCTCTCCCCCAAATCTGTTCTAAATGTGTCGGGAAACAGTAAGGAGATATTTGAATTATTTACTAATAAATAGTGTTTTCTGATGCTGGGTACAAACCACAAGATAATCGGGCTGATTTTGGGCCGATTTCTCCCCTTCCGACAGTCCTAGGTAATGTGCAATCCATATGCTATCCGATTGTGGATAGGACAATCCATATGCTATCCGATTATCTTGGTGGTTCTAAAGATTATCTTATCAGATTTTCCTGTGGTGTGAGGTGTGTTAAGAGTGACTGAATCTGCTCGGAAGAACGTCGAAGGCGCCCCGATCGCGAATCGTAAATATTCAACGTTTTCGATTTGTTTTATTTCGTTAAGTGGTAATTTAAAGCTTTCTATAGATTTTTTTTATCATGTCTGTGAGGCATTCGCTTTGTTTCGATTCATTTTGTGAAGCGCTCCTGTTCAAGACGAGAGGGCAGAAAGTGCATCATGTTTGTTTTCTTTATTTTATAAAAGCACAACTTTTTGTTGATATTGTGAGTGCACACAAATACAAGTATACCCTTTACAGTTCCGAATGATGTATTATTCTTGCCTTTATGAGCAAAAATGACAGCGTAGCCCAGGCTGTTTTAAGTTGTTTCCACTGAAAAAAAAATGCAAGTGATTTGCGCTGGCGCCTCCATATCTTGCAAAGCGTGCTTTAGCTTCGACTCTCCGCACAAACTTGGATATAGCGCACATTTATTATAGCGCAGGTTTAACGTTTAAACATTGTTATATGCTTAACCTGTTTTAGTATATCTAGATTTTATTTTAGGCAAGTCGTGATGATTTGAGTAGGCTAAATTGATCAAACATAGGCGATCAGCTCACTGTCTGCTATGGAAGCCCGTTTCCGCCACTGAATAAAAAAAAAAAAAAAGTTAATTGCGACTTTTTATCTCACAATTCTGACTTTTTTTTCACAGAATTGTGAGATATAAACTCGCAATTCTGACTTTTTTTCTCGCAATT